GAGCAAAACAAACACGCACGAAACCGAACAATGCACGGGAAATGGACGTCCAAGCGACGGCAAGAGGATCCGAGGCTCGCTCTCCGGAGGTGCCTGATCGTCCCGGGGGCGTCCTCGAGGCCACGGCTGGACTTGCCCCGAAACTTCTGGTCAGCGCGCACCCCAAGAAAAAGTCCAGGGGTGGCTTTCTGACCCCCGGAGTTGGCGGCTCCAGGTTTTCTTGGGCGTTTTCGTCAGGTCTCTGCGATTTTCCGGCCTCGGGATGCTCTCCAGCATCAACGGCACCGTAACGGGTACTTACTAACGGGTACTTTGAAATTCTGCCGAAAGTTACCACTTTAGGGCCTTTCTATGGCATTGCAGCGCTGCCCACATCGGGAAGGGTTGGGTTCGCTGGGTCACTGGCGAAAGTACCCGTTAGTGGAGTCCCCGTTTGATGGGCGCTGACAGCAGCCGCGCCTCGCCGAGGGCGTTCTCGGGGGTGCCCAGGCCGTCCCGAGCGGCGGGCCAGAAATATATTCGAGCACCTGTACATGTGTCGAAACGGTGTCGAAGCAGTGTCGAACGAGTGTCTCCCAGGGCCCGACGCGTGCGAACTCTGCAATTTCGCTGCTTTCCTGGTGCTCGAAGTTCCTTATGGTGATCAAGGCGAAAGTCGGCTTGAAATCCATAGGACTCAGCACCCATGCATCGCCCAGAGTGGCCCGATGGCTCAGCCCGCCCAGGGGACGCGAGGATTCGATATCGGGGGCCTATCGCCAATCCATCTGCGATGCATCGCCGGTTCTATCAGGAGGGAATGAAACATACAGACACGCAGACAAAATATGGAAAAAACATGGGGATTCCTGTTAATCGTGTGTATTGATTTGTGTGTGTGTGCGTTGTGGGCCCCTTCCTTCTGGGTCGATCCTTCCCCTCTCCCCACGGACGCAGTTCCCCCCTCAAAAGTTCCCACTCGGCCCAGCGCCCTGCTTCCTCTCTTGTGAAAGAGCGCGAAGGCCGGGCTGCAATGGTCCGGTCCGATCCGCTCGGGCCCCGACACTTCGGTTCCGAGTTCTGTCCGGGACGACTGAGTTCCTTCTCTGGCCGGGTTCGCGGTCTCAGGCGATCTAATTGTCCCGAAAGGGGGTCCAGAGATAAGAGGGTGATGCAATAGATTTGGTGCAATAGATTTGTGGGGGGTTGCAATAGATTTGGGGCGTGCAATACATTCCGGGGCGCAAATGTATTGCTGGGCTTTCGCGTGCAATGCATTGGCTGCAATACAATGCAATACAATTTTCTGGCGCAATGCATTTGCAATACATTGCACCACCCCTTTTCAGTTGGACCCCCTTCTGGGTCAACCAAAGACGATCCGATCCCGAGGCGACTCCGGACCGACCCAGGCCGGATTTGATACGTTTCCTATCCGGTCCGATTTCGAGAGTCGATCCTGCCCAGGCCTGCAATGGCCGGGCTTACCACCACGATGTTCGCGCTGGCAGAGTGCACCAGGTACACCCAGAGCCACGCGGGGGAACCTGCAGCGGCCGAGCGAACAGGCGAATACTTGGCCTGTGCAGTGCAGCGCTGTTCTCGAGTCAACCTGTCGTTGTCTCAGCGCTGTTCGCGATGAGACAAATCGGCGGCGAGGGAGGGGGGGAAGTGAGATGGAGAAGGCCTTCTTAGAATGCTCGGAAGTCCCCAGACCTTCTGAGAAGTTTTCAGAGCCTTTCCCGAAGGCACAGGAAACCTCTCAGAAGGTGCGAGGGCTTCTGAGAAGGCCCGTCGCCTTCTGAGAAGGCCTTCTCCCTCTGACCTTCTCCCCCCTCGCTCGCCGCCGAAACGAGTCGTCCTCACCATCGCCCCGCCGCAGGCACCCTCCCGCCCCGCCGCAGAGATCGCCCCCCAGATCCTGCGGCCAGGATCGGTGCGGGTCGGCCAGGATCGGTGCGGGTGGGCAGCTGGCGCCTCCCGTCCCCCTGCTTCGGGGGAGCCAAAGGGGAGCGCTCTCGGACCGCACTCTGACCTGAGTGGCTACGGACCCATGTGTCGTATTCCGTCCTCGTCAACTTTCCTCCTTAACTATCTTCCTACTCCTCCTCTTCCTCCTCCTCCCTACTATTCCTCCTCCCCCCCGCCATCCTCGTCTTAACCTTCGCCGCCTCGTCCTCATCCTTCTTCTCCCTCCTCTTGGGATGCAACTCCTGCGGTTTCAATTCAGCATCGGCGCCGGGACATCGTGATCGAACACCAGCCTGATCTGCCATAATCCCTCTCAAGCCCGCCCCGCTCAAGCCCGCTTACTCCCGCCTAGTCCAGCTTGACCTGGGGCTCAATCAGGTCCGATCTGGGTCGGTGGCCCCTTGATCGGGTCCCGTAGCCCTGACTCGTTCTTACGAAGAGCCCTCGGGAGTTGCCTCCGAATCCTTCGGTCCTGAGGAGTATCAGGGGTGGACAGACCTCCTGCCCTGACACGTCGATTAAGGAATTGGCCGTTTCCGGTTCGCGAGAGGGCGTCGCGGCCGTCATTTCTGTGGATCCGGGTCCGTCGGTTTCGGTCCCAGGCCGTTTTCACGAATGGGAGGTCTACTCAAGGGGAGGTTTGTCGACTGCGGATAGTAACTAGGAGGGGAAGAAACACACATCATAGCCCCGAATCATCAGGGGTAACTCGGGTCAGGGCTAACTCGGGTTCCTTTTTTCGGGAATCCGAACCCGACTTTCCCCGGACCCGAGTTACCCCGGATAATTCGGGCGTCCATGGCCCCACATCATCAGGGGTAACTCGGGTCAGGGCTAACTCGGGTTCCTTTTTCGGGAATCCAAACCCGAGTTACCCCGGACACGAGTTACCCAGGATAACTCGGGCGCCCAAACACAGACACACTTAATCGTCGATTCCCCAGAAAATATAGGAAAATATGGGAAGTGGGGGGGGAGAGGAAATCCCAGAGAATATGGGAACATATGGGGAATCTGTTTATTTGTGTGTACTTATTTGTGTGTCCTGGGGCCCCTTCAGTAACTCCCAGCGAGGGCGAGTCGGAGCATTACTGCCCCCGTTCTGGCGGCGCTCTCGTCGCACTCCGGCTGCCGGAAGGGGCCTGGACCGTCGGGACCCTCGGCAGCACATCGGAGGAAGTAGGCCTTTGGAGGGTCCTGGGAGTCCCAGGTCCTGCATGCTCAGTGCTCGAGCACTGGGGACGATGAGGAGAGGGAGGAGAAGGAGGAGGAGGAGGAGGAGGAGTAGGAGGAGGAGCAGGAGGAGGAGGAGGAGGGAGGAGGAGGAGGGATGATGAGGAGGAGGAGGAGGAGGAGGAGGAGGAGGAGGAGGAGGAGGTCTGCGGGATTGGGGGGAGAAGGAGCAGGGCTTGCGGGGGTGGATGCGGATCCTTGAGCCTCCGAGAGGAGGAGGAGGAAGAGGAGGAGGAGGAGGAGGAGGAGGAAGAGGAGGAGTGGAGTCCCAAGCACCACCGAAGCTCGACGGTCGGCGATGCTTTGGTGGCCGAGCCGCGCTTCCGGTGCCTCCCGCAGTTGATGGCGATCTTGATGTCCATGCTCACGATGATGAGGATGATGATTGTGGTGGTGATGATAATGGTGATGGTGACGATGTTGATGATGCTGATGGTGGTGATGGTGGTAATTCACATGGGAATGAGGATTGATGAGGATGAAGATGGGGATGAGGATTAGGATGGGGATCAATATGCTGATGCGCATGAGGATGATGATGAAGATGCTTATTCTGCTGATGATGACGATGATGTAGCTGCTGCTGATGACGATAATGATGATGATACTGACGATGCTTCCGATATGATGATGCTGATGATGATGATGCTGATGATGATGATGATGATGGTGATGATGATGGTGATGATGCCGATTTTTATGATGAGGATGCTGCTGCTGCTGATGAGGATAACGATGATGGTGGTGAGGATTAGGATGCTGATGCTGCTGATGCCGATGATGTTGTTGTTGATGCTGATGCTGATGATGCTGGTGGTGATGATGATGGTGATCATGATGATGATGATGATGATGATGATGATGATGATGATGATGATGATGATGATGATGATGATGAGGCTGATGGTGATGCAGAGTTTCAGAGTGATGATGAGGAAAGGGGAGGGAGATGCTGATGGCGACAGGAGGATGTTGATGCGGAGAAGGAGGGACAGGAGGTAGTTGTTGCGGATGCTGCTGAGACTGACTAATGTGAAGGAGGGGAAAGCGGAAGGAAGGTCACCAGAAGGAAGCAGGGAATATGAGGTGGAATATGACGAGCAAGGGAGAGAGAGAGAGAGAGAGAGGGATAGCGAGAGAGAGAGAGGCATTGATTCAATGCAGGCATTCAGTCATCCGAATGGCACCCATTTATTCTTTCACAACGGCTAACTGGAGGTAGAGGTTCACGATGACGTGGAGGAGGTGGTGCTAGATGGTGTAGACGAGGCGTGGGGAACGATGATCAAGCGGAGCAAGGCGAGGATGGCGAAGGGGAGGAGGTGATGAGTATTGGCCATGGGGAAAAGGAATGGGAGGAGATAAGAGGGAGGTAGAGAAGGGAGAGAAGGGGAGGGGGAAAGTGGAGGAGGAAGAGGAGGTGTCAGCGCGGAGGCATAGGAGGATGCGGGCTAGGAGGGCGCGGAGGCAGAGGGGGGCGCGGGCGAGGAAGGGAGTCAGAAACGGAGAAGGCTGAGGCTGACGAGAGAGGGAGGCTGGGAAGGGGGGAGTCAGAGCACGACGCGGCGGCGGAGGCGGCGGAGGAGGAGGATGAGGCGGAGCCAGAGGCGGAGAGGGAGGAGGGCAGTATGTGGAGAGGAGGCGGAGGCGGAGGCGGAGGTTGAGGCGGAGCCGCATGCGGAGGGGGGGGAGGGCAGGATGGGGGCGTTCACCGTGCGTGCAGGCACGCGGTCGCACGCCCGCACGCAGAAGCGCCCCTCCGCGCATTCGCGCCGAACGGGGCCCGTTCGCCCTCGCGGCCCCGCCGCCGAGCCAAGGAAGAGGATGCCTCTGGAGCTGCTGACCACGAGGCGCCGTGGTGGACTCAGTCAAGAGATCAGGAGGGATGAGGAGGAAGAGGAGGAGGAGGAGGAGGAGGAGGAGGCGTGGAGGAGGAGGAGGAGGAGGAGGAGGAGGTCGTGGGAGGCGAATGAAGAACGGGGAGGAAGAGGAGGCAGGAGGAGGAGGAGGAGGCAGGAGGAGGAGGACGAGGAGGAGGAGGAGGAGGAGGTTCAGCCTTGAGCTGCTGACCATGAGGCGCCATGCTGCCTCGGCCAGGAGAGCAAGAGCAGGACCGCGGTCAAGGCGCCGATTCCATACGAGTGAGCAAGTCGCGTGGATTAGCGGCGGGTCCCGTTTCGGTGCAGAGTCGGCGCGATCCGGCGCCAAATCGGGCGGCATTGGCGTCGTGCTCCGCCAGGTTGCGCGGCGGCCTCAGCCAAGACAGCAGGAGCAGGGGCCCAGTCAAACGGCACCCACCAGGACGAGTGACCTGCCAAAGGTGTATACCTGAGAACAGCCTGAGAACCTGGTGTCTCACGTTTTTTCGAGCGGGGCGCTGTCGTCCGTTCTCGGGCCCTGGGACCTTGCCAGATCGATCCGACTCGAAACATGGGCGCACGAAGGTAGGGTCTGGGTCGCTGGTCGTGATTGTCGTGGCCTCCGGCCAGTGCCGCCGATCCGGGGCGCTCCCCATGGCGCTCCTCGGGTTCGCTTGGAGGCCTATGGGGCCGTCTTTGGGCCCTCTTGGGGGCGTCGTAGGAGGAGGCCTCTTGCGTGGGTCTTTGAGCCTCTTGGGGGCTTCTTGGGGAAGCTTTTTTGGCTGTCTTAGGGCGTTCCAGGCCCGTCGGACGCCGTCGGAAGCCGTCTTGGGCGCCTCGCTGTGGCGTCTGGAGACACTCTGGGGGCGCTTCAGGGCCGTCTTGGAGGCTGTCTTGGCCGTCGTGGGGGCCCATGGGGCCGTCTTGGGACCATCTCGGGTCCGCCTCAGGATCCTCTTGGGCCGTGATGGGGCCATCTTGGAGGCTTCTGGGGCGATCTTGGGTGCCTCTGGGGCCGTCGGAAGGCCGACAAGAATGAAGCGCCCAAATCCTTCAGAAGCAGTCAGAAAGTCAATGATTCGGGCCTCTTCGGGCTCTTTTCGCAGGGCATCCTGGGCCGTCTTGGGCGCACCTGGAGCCGTTTGGGGAAATATCTGGTGGCCATCTTTGGTCCGAGGCACGATAACCATCACGTCACTAATTATGGGCCCCAGGGCCCACTGAGGCCCCAGGGGCCCCAGATTAGTGAAGTGATTTTCTTTTCCCACGTAAGGACCCCGAAATTCCTCACTTCACTAAGCCGAACCCATGGCGAAAGTCAGGGGCCGAATTGCTGCTGTGATGCAGCATAGGTCTCGTATTTGGGCTTTCAGGTCCCCAGGGTGGGAATTCCGATATTTGCCTGTCCCGGCCCCGCCCAGAACACGGAGCACAGGCGGAGCAGGCCCCCTCTCCCCCTCCGTCCCCCGGCAGAGCTCTCCCGCCCCCCCCCCCCGCCCGCAGGGCTGGAGCTCACCGGGCGCGCTCCGCTGCTCGCAATGTGCCTGTTCGCAAACGTCCGATGTAGATAAGTCTTCTTCTATATATAGATGTTGTGGAGGTCGAGTACTGGAGAGGAAGCATGCTGCCAAATACTTTCCAGATGTCAACAAATGCTTCAGACATGTCTTTATTACGTGAAAACATGGTTGAAACGTTTAGAGCACATGTTTTACACATTTGAACACATCTTCAACTCAATAATAGGACTGTTAGAGTGTCCATTGTCGTGGCATCCACAAACATAACGTATCGTGCATTCCCCGCGGCGGATCCAAGCCGTTTGCGGGTAGTTGCTTTGCGAGTAGTGGGGTGCGCTTGTCCAGAAGCTCAGGCTGTAGGCTGTAGCCTACGCTCGTTGAAACTCACACGCCAGATCGGCGGATGTGTCACGATGATGTATCCGCTATGTCCGATGTCAGAGATCTTCGCATCCTTATCTCGGCCAATCGTAGCCTTTGGCCATGGGCCAATCAATGGCTTCCAACCGTTCGGCCTTGATCAGGTTTTAAGAAACCCAAGCAGGCCCCAAGAGGTCCAGAAGAGACACCCGATACGACTAGGACGCGTCAAGCGCGGCCCCAGACGGCTACAAGACAGGGCATCAGGCTTCCTCGACAGCCAAAGCGGGCCAGAAGAGGACCCGCAAGACGCCCCGAATTGGCAGCAATCTTCCCGAAAGCAGCGCTTTCACTTACATAGGGTTCTTATTTAGCTCTTGGCACTTCGCGTATCCCTTCTTTCGGATGCAATTCCGGGGAGGTCAACATCGCACTTTACCCTGGTCCGAAATTTGGCTTCATCCGGCCTAATCCCGCTTAGTCCGGTTGAGTCCCGATCAATCAGGTCTATTCCCGCTTTCTCCGCGGGCCTATCCGGCGTAGCAGCCCCTCAATGGTGCTCAATGCTCCCTAATCCTTCCGACGAAGACCTCCCTGTAGTCGCCTCCTGACCTTCTGGCCCATCCAGAACCGATCGCAGGCAGGAAGGAGGGAAGGCAGGCCGCACGGACGAGGACGAGAAGGACGAGGTGGCGATGTTCGCGGGGATGTTGTGGAGATAGTTCGCCAAGCAGCGCTTGCACTGAAGGGTTGTTGTTTTGCTTTCTTACAGTCGGACCGAGGTACAAGGTCGAGGTCGATTCGGGGAGTGTGCCGTTAGTGTGTTTCGTGCTTGCTGGATGTTCCTGTGCATCCTGGCGGGAGGTGGTGGTACGCTGGATGCTCAGTTTGTTTAGGCCGCCGGAGGGTCTCATGCTCTTGAGGGGTGTTCTTCTGGCCTGGGCCCGACTGTGCTCAGGAGGGAAAAAAAGCACACAGACATAATCCATCGTCGATTTCCAAGAGAATATGGGAAAATATGGGAAGTGGGGGGGAAGCCAGAAACCCAGAAAATATGGGAACATATGGGGAATCCTGTTACCTGTGTCTATTTGTTTGTGTGTCCCAGGGCCCCTTCATGTACGTGCCTGGATGGGCCCCCGGGCTGTCGCCGAGCTGGCGCCCGTGCTCGCCGGTGGGCGCCCCGTGTGGCGCGGGGGGCCTGCTCTCGACTTTCTGCAGCTCGTGCTGCTGTACTGGGAGGTCAGCGCACGGACGTCGGACGTGTGCACTTTTTCTCGCCGAGAACCATCGAGGACCATCCTGGACCATCGAGCGAAAAAAAAGCGCGCACGAAGCCGAAAGATGCTCGGGAAATTTCTCGTCCAAGCGACGGCAAGATTGCCTTCTTGGTCTTCATCGTGTCCGCGGCCTCGCGGGCCGGGCCCTTTGGCCGCGACTCCGCGGATCCGTTTTTGTTTGTTTCGCGCATGCCCCGCACGGAGCGTGTCCGTGCAACCGCGTATCCGCGGGATCGCGCCCCGGAATCCAGACCGCGAGGGAGTTGAAATGGATGCGTTCTCCGCTCCTGATATTTCAGGGCTTCCACGACGGCCCAAGAGGTCCCCAAGCTCGCCCCAATGTGGCCCACCAGGGCGCCCCTTCGGGCCCGAAGATGGGCCCAGGAAGGCCCAAGACGGTCCACGGGGCGCAAGTACGCCCCAAGAGGGCCCCCAGAGGGATCCACACAGCCGACGTGAGCCCCAACACGGCCCCACAGGGCTTGCAGGCCGCCCCAAAGACCATCAAGACGGCCCAGGCGGGCCTGGGATCCGTCCCAATATGGCCCCAAGGCGACCCAACAGGCCCCCAGACGGCTTCACAACAGCTCCAAGAGACCCCCATGAAGGGCCCACTGACGACATTGGATTAATACGACGATGCTCAGAAGAGAAATGCACATTTTGTTACGTTTCCCAGACCGTTTTCTGCACTTCCGATGTTTTTTTTTCCTGATCAATTGGGTGGGTTTCTGGGGTTCGCGCTCGCGCCTCGTAGTCGCCTCGTAGTCGACCCCGTGGGCGCCTCGTGGTCGCCCACGGGGGCGACTACGAGGCGCCCACGGGGGCGACTACGAGGCGACTCGTGGGGGGGTGCCCCCTCGTGGGTGCCCCCGCGTGGGCGCCTCGTAGTCGCCCCGTGCACTGGGCGGGTGTTCCGACTCTCCGGCACGCCCACGCGTGCGCCCGCTCGTGGGCCAGCGTTGGACGTGTGCTTGCCCGCCCGCGGGCGCCCTCCTCCTCCTCCTCCTCCTCCTCCTCCTCCTCCTCCTCCTCCGCTCGTGGGCCAGCGTTGGACGTGTGCGTGCCCGCCCGCGGGCGCCCGGTGGGCGCCCAAAGCGCGCCCCGGGCGCGGGTTTGGGTGTCCCGAGGTGCTGCCGCGCTCGCGCCCGTGCCCGCTCGTGGGGCGCCCCCGCCCACAGCATATGCACAGCGTACGTTTCTGGACGCCCGAAATGGGTACGGAAAGAATGGGTACCTTGCCCGACAGCAGTTCCTGTTCACTTTGAACAGGAGTCGCTGTCCACGCCGCCGCGGCCCGTGTCCATCCGAGACAGAAGGCCGCCTGCCCAACAGCGGCCGCTGTTGGCTTGGGACAACATCTGTTGTTGGGCACAGTGCCCATTTTTTCGGTACCCATGTCGGGCGTCCAAAACATTGCACCGTCAGAAGTGCAGGGACATCGCACCGTTGATCAGATATCTGGGTTGCACTTTTTTTTTTTCTCTGCGAGGTGTGCTCACTGGAACTATCGGTGCCAGTGGTGTGAGTGAATGAAGGACATCGGTTGCACACCACAACGACTACCCCGCATAGCCGCACAGCTTGCACAGCACACCTTACAGCAACTATGCCACTTCTGGCGCATTACACAACGTAGCTCGCACTACATGGCTTGTGCAGCGTCGCCCAACTCCCTAGACTAACCGCATAACTTTCACCACGCAGGTCACACCACATAGCGTACACCGCGTAGCTTGCACCGCCGCAACACAGCTTACACATAATCTCTAAGTGCTCACAGCTCACACCGCAACAAATCTCATACGCCCGAACGAACGCAGTCTAGGTTACACCCGATAGCTTGCACAGCATAGCTCTCACCACATCGTTCACATCACATAACATGACATGACTTACACTGCACAGCTGACACCACATAGCGTGCACAACGAAGCTTGCACCACCTAACACGGCGCACGTTGGGGGGGAGGCGTTACATCATACCCCCGCCCGGCCCTTTCCCCCCTCTCCCTATAATGCCCATTATCGCCGAAAATAAAGAAACGCGCTCGACGCTTCGAGGCCGTCCGAAGCCGTCGTGGACCGTCGTGGACTCTCCAGTGGATTTTCGTTTGGCCAGGCAAAATCCACGCGACATTCACTCTTCGTTTTTCGCTCGCCGTTTTTCGGGATTCTGCATGGACAGAAAGCCACACAGAAATCCGCTGTAGCACGTCTGCAAGGGTGGCGCGCCGGCAGCTGCGGCGGCGGCGGCGGCAGGGCCGTCTGTCAAGTCTCGGCACAGAACAGCTGCCTCGAGTCTCGGGGCGGGGTGGCCCGTTTTGGAGGCCTGCGACGGCCACGCCGGGATGTTCTTGAGTCCTGGGCCCCCCTGCTCCAAGAAAAACATGTCAGGAGGGAAAAACACACGCAGATACAATGAATCGCCGACTCCCAGGGAAAGATGGGAAAATATGGGAAGTGGGGGGGGAAGACGAAAACCCAGAGAATATAGAAACATAGAGGGAATCCTGGGGGTTGTGTGTATTTATTTGTGTGTTCTTGGACGCCTTGAACATGGTGGACATGAGGAAATTCTGGGTTCCTTAGTCAATCCCCCTGGGGGAGGGGCCGATGGTCCCAAAGCACCAGACATCTGCCGATCCACCAACTTTCATAGGGTGTTTCTGGGGCCCCGAGTCAGGTCATTATCTTGGGTGCACTACATGCCCTGGTGGGTTCGCGGGTCTCGTGGGTCCCGCAGGTCCCGCGGGTCCCGCATGTCCCACAGGTCCCACGGCTCCCGTTTGTCTTACAGGTCCAACAGGTCTCATAGCTCCAGGTCTCGCATGTCTCGATGTTCCCACATGTCCCGCAGGTCCAACAGGTCTTTCATGTCACCTCACTTTTGCTGTTATCAGAGTGCTTTGCTGGCCGCGCGTGGTTGCTTGAGCTGCGCGTAGTGCTGGCTGGGCCATCAACGCAGGTGGGGAATGCTGCCCCAGAAATAGGAAATTTCGCCCGCTCTGGATTTTCATGTGAACCCTCGGAGGCGGTGGTTTCCACCGTGGCCACAAGGGGAACAGGGCAAAGGAGGAGGAGCTGTGGAAAGGGAGGAGGGGAAGGGGAAGAAGAGGAGGAGGAGGAGGAGCAGCAGCGGGAAGAGGAGGAAGGAGAGGAAGAGAAGTTCTGGGATGGGAGCAGGCGGCGAAGGAGGATTGCAGGAGGTGAGGGAGAGGTGGACGAGGCGAAGGACGACGCAGAACGACGCAGAGGACGACGTAGAACGACGTCGCAGAGGGAACGACGCAGAGGGAACGACGCAGAGAACGACGTAGAGGAAACGACGTAGAGGACGACGTGGAGGGGAAAGAGGAGGACGACGTCTTTGTTTTTTTTGTTTTGTTTTTTAGAACGACGTCGTCCCCGCCGCCGGGGCGAGGCGCGACCCCTGGCAGTTCCAGGCGCTGCGCGAGCGGCTCGCGGCCCCGGAGGCGGTGCGGCTGAGCGGGCTGCTGGCACACGTCGCGCGGGGGGCCCAGTCGCTTCTGGGCGCCGTCGCCGTCGCCTGTCCTCCTCCTCCTCCTTCTCCTCCTCCTCTGCCTCCCCCGTGCTTCCTCTGTCCGTCTCCGCCCCCCCCTCTCCTCCTCCTCCTCCTCCTTCTCCTCCTCCTCCTCCTCCTCCTCCTCCTCCTCCTCCTCCTTCCTCCTCCCCCCCTTGCTTCCGCTGTCTGGCGCCGTCGCCGTCGCCACATCGCTATCGTCGTCGTCATCTTCGTCGTCGTGGTCGTCGTCAACGTCGTCGTCGTCGTCGTCGGCGTCGGCGTCGGCGTCGTCGGCGTTGTCATTATCATCATCAGCAGCAGCATCAGCAGCAGCAGCAACAGCAGCAGCATCAACATCATCATCATCATCAGCAGCAGCATCAGCATCATCATCATAATCATCACGACCGCCACCATCATCACCATCATCACCATTATCCTCATCAACATCATCATTATCATCATCAGCATCATCGTCATCATCATCATCATCATCATCATGATCATGATCATGATCATGATGATGATCATCATCTTCATCATCATCTTCACCATTCTCACTATTATCACCATCATCGCCAACATCACCACAACCACCACCACCACCGTCGTCGTCATCGTCGTCGTCGTCGTCGTCGTGGTCGTCGTCGTCGTCGTCGTCGTCGTCGTCGTCGTTCTTGTCCTGGTCGTCGCCCTCGTCTCGGAGGAGGGCCCGTCGAGAGCGGCGGCCCTCCCTGGCGCTCGCCGCCCCTCGCCGGGCCTCCGCGGGGGCTGCTCGCCGCCGCGGCCCGGGGCAGCGCCGAAGAGCGGGCCAGGACGGACCCTCGGGGGCGGTTTCTGAGCAGGGCTGGGCCGGGCCGCAGGGCCGCAGCTGTCTCGGCGTGTCCTCCGTGCGATCGTCGGTGTCATCGTCGGCGGAGGGAGCAGGGGAAGTCCCCATTCTGTCCCCGCCCGTCCTCCTCCTCCTCCTCCTCCTCCTCCTCCTCCTCCTCCTCCTCCTCCAGCCGCCGCCACGGCCGAAGGTCGAGGGACACGCGGCCCTCCCACCCTGTTCCATCGCCCGCCAGGGGAGCAGCGCGCGATGCCCACGCGCCCGCGGGGCCCAAGAGGCCCATGATTGAGGCTCTCCTCTTGCTCGCGGCCGTCGGCTTCTCGCCGCGGGCGGCCGCCTACATGTCGACAGGCGCTTGCCGCGCCCCTGGACGCACTCAGGAGCGAGAGCCTCAACCTGCTCTGCACACCAGGCTCTACGTGTACAACCCTTTCTACCTGACGGGCAGCACCCGCGCGCAGGAGATCACCTGCGAGCACTACATGGGCGTGATCCTCTTCCCTGGGACGAGCCGCCGCCCGACACTGGTCGGCCGCCACAGCCTCTTTCAGCACGACTACCACTGGGAGCTCTCCTTCGGCTGGACCAACAAGAGTTGCGGGGGGAGCATCTTCCTACATCAGCGGTTTCCGCAGGCACACCTACGCCGGATCTACCCTCCGCCCGCGGCGCTCTCGGGCCGCTGCGGCGCGACAGTGCCGCTCCTCGGACGTGCTCCTCATGGTTCGGCACCTTTCCGTGCCATCGGAGTCCTGCTCCAGCCGCAACTCATGCCGCCAGGTGACCCAGGCTATGATCTCGTGGGCACGCACCACGCTGGAGTCTGTGGGCAGTCGACGCACGCCCTTCAGCCGGGCGGACCTCAGCTCGGCGACTCCGTGGACGAGACTTTTCTCGGCTCCCCGTCCCTGCTCGAGCCCGACTTGTGGAGCGAGGTCGACAGCGCCGTGGGCCCCTTCCTGGAGCTGGAGGGCCTTTCTGGACGTCTTTGGCAACGGTTCCTCTCGGACCACGACACCTTCTTTGTCAGCGGGGACACCTTCATCGGGGCGCACGGACGGTCACGCAGGATCGACTTCCCCCACGCCCCGTGCAAGTGCAAGGCCCCCATGGGAGCAGGACGCCGCCTCAACACATTGTACGATCGAGACCACCGCTCTGTCTACGCGGGCGACATCTTCGAGGCCCACGCGCAGCACACCTGGGACTACGAAACGATCATGTTTCGTCTGGAGGGCGCCCTGAAGTCGCGCGACCTGCAGCAGGCGGTCACGTTCCTCCCCAAGATGGCGCGCCAGCACGCCCCGCAGTTCAGGGACCTCGCGGCCTCGGAATGGATCAGCATCGTGACCCCGCCCACGGCTACTTCGATCGTCGCAGCTCGGGAAGCGGGCAAGATGTACGCAGAGGCGGAGCAGGTCCCCGAGGCGAAGCCCCAACTCACCACATTTGTACATCGCTCACGCCGAGTTCAAGTACCCGTCGGCCTCCGTGGAGCAGGAGGCCCCGTAGGGGCACCTTCTACCAGCAGTTCGTTTGCATGGGGGCGCTCCACCTCAGGCTGCGCACGCGCCACAACGACCAGTACACCAGGATGCAGTTCGCTAACGCGGACCAGATCACACTGAAGAGCGTCAACCCAGACGGCCATCGGGAGACATGCCTCGACGTTCTGGGCGGCCGCCAGAAGATGGGGACGGCCCCTCTGGGCCACCTGGAACCGATGGCCCAGAAACTGCTAGACAAGAACCGCCAGATCCACTACGGCCAGAAGGGCTGACATGGGTGGCGGATCCTACGGAAAGAGATGGGCGACCAGCACACTACGTGACGACGAAAACCACTAAAAATTTAACAACAACGGACATACCAAACACTAATTAAAATCACCAATAATCACAATACCAAATCCAAGATCTAGTAGGATAAAGAAAATAAGTAGAAAACCAATGAAATCATACGTGACGTCGTGAGTCCCTCCAGCAGCCTCGCTGTAGCACCAGGCCCCTCTAGTCGCTCTCGCCGCCCCTGGTCTCTAGGGCGCGCCGTCGGCTCTTTTCTTCGGCCTGTTTTTTTTCCTTCTCGGGGCCTCTGGGTGTCCAGGGAGCCTGCTCGGTGCTCTCCGCGCCGTCGAGCTCGGCCCCCAGGGGCCAGAGGGGTATCACCCCCCGCCCGCGGGCGTCTTCCTGTTTCCTGTCCTGCTCGGCTCTGATCAAAGGTGATCACAGCTGCACGGCGCGCCCACACGCCTGACCTCGTTCGGTCCGAGGAGATCGCACGACTGCTCAGAGGTGTCCCCGAGCGATCTCTCGTTGCGTGAGCTCGAGGGGTGAGTGTCTTCAGACTCACAGCGCAATGCCGAGTCCATCCATCCATCCATCCTCCTTCTCCTCCTCCTCCGCCTCCTCCTCCTCCTCCTCCTCCTCCTCCTCCTCCTCGTTCTACTCCTCCTCCCTCCTCCTCCTCCTGCTCCTCCTCCTCCTCCTCCTCCTCCTTCCTCTTCCTCTCCTCCTCCTCCCTCTCCTCCTCCTCCCCCTCCCTCCTCCTCCTCCCCTCCTCCTCCTCCTCCTCCTCCTCCTCCTCCTCCCCACCACCATCACCATCACCATCACCATCACCATCACCATCAACATCACAATCGCAATCATCATCATCACCACCACCACCACCACCATCATCATCATCATCATCATCATCATCATCATCATCATCATCATCATCATCATCATCATCATCATCATCATCATCATCATCATCATCATCATCATCATCATCATCATCATCAATCATCAGCATCATCATCATCAGCATCATGAGCATCATCATCAACATCATCATCATCCGCAACATCATCATCATTATCTCATCATCATCCTCATCTCATCATCATTCATCATCAGCATCATCATCATCATCATCAGCATCAGCATCACATCATCCATCACACACACACCGCATCATCAACCACATCATCAGCCTCATCAACACCACCACCACCAATGCAACATCATCATCATCACCATCATCATCATCAGCCTCATCATCAGCATCATCATCAGCATCATCATCATCATCATCATCATCGTCAGCATCATCATCATCATCATCGTCAGCATCATCATCATCATCATCATCAGTATCAACATCATCATCATCATCAGCATCATCAGCATCATCATCATCATCACCATCAGCATCAACATCATCTTCATCGTCATCGTCATCGTCATCGCCATCATCATCATCATCAATATCATCATCATCACCATCATCATCATCATCATCATCAATCAGCATCATCAGCATCAGCATCATCATCATCATCAGCAGCAGCATCAACATCATCATCAACATCATCATCATCATCATCATCGTCATCGTCATCGTCATCGTCATCATCATCACCATCATCATCATCACAACCATCACCACCACCACCACCATCATCATCAGCACCATCAGCATCACAATCACCATCACCATCTCCATCATCATCAGCAGCATCATAATCACCATCATCATCATCATCATCATCATCATCATCAACACCGTCATTATCATCATCAGCATCATCATCATCATCAGCATCCTCATCATCATCCTCATCGTCATCATCATCAGCATCATCATCATCAAAATCATCATGATCGTCATCACCATCATCAGCATCATCATCATCAGCAGCATCAGCATCATCATCATAATCATCATTATCATAATCATCATATTCCTCCTCCTCCTCCTCCTCCTCACCTCCTCCTCCAACCTTGACGCGCTGGATCATCTCACGATTGCCTTTGACTGCTCAGACAGTTCAATTCGGTGCTCTGTATTTCTACAAGGTGTTAAGGCTACAGCTGTGGAGTGTTCGTCGGAGGCATGGCTGGGAAATGCACTGTTACTCCAACCCGTGCTGCGCATTATGGATGGGAGTACCTTTGCCAAAGCAAGCACCCCCACTTCAGCATGCGCAAAAACGTTGCCACGGTCAACGCTGACCATTTGATTCAGTGTTTGCATCCATTTTCGGAGGTTGAGGCCTGAGATTGCATCCGCCCACCGCCGCCGCCGCTCCTCCCTCCGCAGCGGTGCTCGTGCCCCTGCCTGGACGGAGGGTTTGGGAGGTGCCTGGGGCGTGGAGCCCAAAGAATCCTCCTCCTCCTGCTCCTCCTCCTCTTCCTCCTCCTCCTCCTCCTCCTCCTCCTCCTCCTCCTACTCCTACTCCCACTCCTACTCCTACTCCTACTCGTACTCCTCCTACTCCTACTCCTACTCCTACTCCTACTCCTATCCCCCCCCTCAGGCCGGCCATTAGGGGCCGCATCCGGGGGGTCCCACCCTAACCTGTAAAAAACAATACAAAATCAACATTTTTCTTATTTTTTCCTCTCGACATGGACGTCCTGTCGTCCACGGCGATAATCCATTGCAAAAAATACCACAAAGAGCACACGCGCGCGTTCATGTCAGAATCCTACCGAACACCGTGTGTTTGCAAGCATTTCAACATAAAAACATCAAAAACCCAATGCTTTTTCACAAAAATTGTACAAATTTCCCGCCCGGGCTCTCTTGCTGAAATCATAGGAAAACCATAGGAATCTTAAGAATTCTGTCGAATCCAGCGATTTCACGTCATCGCGCGGTGCACTCGCGATGCTCTGTCATGCACCCAGGCCGCGAATCCTGTGCAAAAAATACACAAAGAGCACACTCGCGCGTTCATGTCAGAATCCTACCGAACACCGTGTGTTTGCAAGCATTTCAACATAAAAACATCAAAAACCCAATGCTTTTTCACAAAAATGCTTTGGGGTGTCCTGTCAGACCGTCGGGCTTCCTCCGGCCACCTCTGGCTTCCTGCGGTGTACCGGGCCATTCTCGACTCGTCTGGCAATGCGTGCGCGGCATTCAACACGCGCTCGCCAGTTCCCGTCGGCAACCGCCATCGCGGCCGCATCAGCTGTACCAAACCGGCTGGCCGGTGTGACTTCGGTCCCCAGTTGTGCCAGCTTTGCTTCTTATGTTGTGGGAGGGCGGGTGGGACTGGGCATGCCATGCTTGACTCGCTCGAGCTGGCTAGCTTGACTCCTACTCCTACTCCTGCTCCTACTCCTGTTCTTCCGCATGTCTGTTCCTCCGCTTCCTAGATCTCCTCCTCCTCCTCCTCCTCCTCCTCCTCCTCCTCCCCCTTCTCCTCCTCCTCCTCCTCCTCCTCCTCTTCTTCTGAATCATAGTATTACTATTGTGATCCACCGTCCCCAGAGGCGCGTGCGATCAAACTTTCACTCGTCCACCACCACGTCTACTTTTACCACTGCTCACTTTACAATGACAGTCCTCGACCTCGCCCACCACGCTCCCCACCATGCTCCACAGTTCACCTTTGCTGCCACCTTCTTCTTTTCAAAATGAAAGGCTTCGACACCGCCCACGTCTGACACCTTACCCGCCTGGACCTTCTCTGCGTGCTGTTTGAAGGACTCTCCACCCTACGAAAACCCACGCTGGGACCCCCACCGCTCTTCCACAACGTCTGACATTCCCACGCCGACCCCAAGAGGCGTGTGCGGAGAAGCTCATTCGAATTCAGTAGAACAGGTCCACTATGAGAGTTCACTCGAGTTCCCTGCCTGTGAAAATCGTCGCGTCTCCCATAGCTACCTTCCCACACTTTCCTCGCGCTCCCCTGGCTCGCAACCAATGTCGGGGCCCGTATGGTGAAGTGGAAGTTACCGCTCTTCTTGTGAATTTTCGTCCTTGTGTCCAGCTACTCTCAAAGTCTCTCGATCTGAACTGCGCGATTCCCTGCTTCGACTAACTCGCGCGCAGATCCGATCACTTTTCCAACATGGGCCACATGGATGGGAATGCTCACCATAGACCCTTTTTCGTTTTCTCCCGCGGTAACCATTTGCCCATGGTTCCCGGTGACAAATCCGTTCACCGCATTGTAGCAATTGCCGTGATTGGTGACCTCCGTGCGTTTAACGGGACAATGAGTTCCCAGTTGGAAATCCAGCAATATCTTTGGCCCCTGAATCCACGGCAACAACAGTCGTCTCCATACCACTTTCCCGGCCCCTCACTGGTACCTCATTCACTTCCTCGTCGGGACCTTCCATCCATCTCCACGGATCGTAGCTCTGCGTACTTTTGCATCCAACTCGTGTCCTGCTTAATACACTCAGAAATCTGTCTGTCCCAGTTGGTGCCTTGGTTGCCGTGAAAGTTGCGCTCATGTGGTGCGTTTTTCCTCTTAATCTCTAGCCTGGCCTCCCAGCCCCCCCTCTTCGTCGCTTGGTACTGCGTCCTCCAATCCTGTGCACCTTTAGGTGGCTCTGGTCTTCTGGCATCAGCGACAGCGTCACGGTAAGTTGGTCCATCTCGGCGCTGTAGCATCACAGTCCTGGTGGAGGCTGCCTTCAGATCTGCGCGTGATATCCTGGGACCCCTGCCCCCTCTTGGCCCAGGGCAACACCGTTGGCGTTCTTGGGGTAGCAAGCCGCGACGCGACTTTCTTTTTCCGTGCGAGCGCCCTTGATCAGGTTGCAGCGTGTGCCATCTTCAACGCGGTCTCTGATGCCATCAGCTCTATCTCAAACGATGACGTCGCATTCGCCCTATATCTATAGTGGTATCCTATCATGTGTCGTTTCATATGGCCGTCTTCCAAATAATACGCCAACAACTGTACACCTGCTGCTCCACCAACGCCAGATGTGTAACACCCCCTCCCGCTGATCGGCCTCCTCCTTTCGAGCCTGGGGCTTGGCTCCCTGGGCAACATCCTGGGAGGCGCCCTTTGTAACCTCCCTTCACATCACCAGCTGGGTAACGCCTAGTTCTTTGATACCCCCATATGTAATGATCCTCCTGCCTGCGCCCAGTGGTAACCCTTGACACCCTCGTACTCTCCTGTTCCGCCTCCTTTTCCTTTGGCGGCTCCTTCGGCGGCGCAGTCTTTAGCCATGCGCCCATACCTTCTGTTGGCCCAGATCCTCTCCTTTCCTAACTTCGCTCGCGATGCCGTTCTCGGTCATGTCTTCCTCCCTCAAGGGCCACCAACTACCCGCCTCGTCGTAATAACGTGCGTCGTCTCAATTGGTGTCCCACTTTCCACGGTCGTCATCGCTCTGACTGTTTGCCCTGCAGAGGCCGTTAGCCCACTCGGCAGCATCGCGAAGTGGGAAACAAACCTCCTCGTCATCTCCCTCCTTCCTCCCCTCCCTCCCACCCTCCCTCCCTCTCCCTCCCCCCCCCGTCCTCCTGAACCACCTCCTCCTCCTCCTCCTCCTCCTCCACCCCTCCGCACCCTAATCATCGTCATCACTACCATCAGCATCGTTAGCACCACCACCACCATCATCATAACCATCATCATCATCATCATCATCATCATCATCATCATCATCATCATCAGCATCATCATCATCATCATCATCAGCAGCATCATCATCATCATCATCATCATCATCAGCAGCATCATCATCATCATCATAATCATCATAATCATCAGAATCACCATCATCATCATCATCATCAGCAGCAGCATCAGCATCATCATCATCAGCATCATCATCATCACCGCTATCATCACCACAACCACCACAACCACCACCATCCTCATCCTCATCATCATCATCATCATCATCATAATCATCAGCATCATCATCATCATCATCATCATCATCATCATCGACATCATCATCATCATCATCAGCATCATCATCATCATCAGCAGCATCATCAACACCGACATCAACATCATCATCAGCAGCATCATCATTATCATCAGCAACCGCATCAACGTCAACGCCTTGCCATCGCCATTGTAATTGACATTATCAGAATCCGCATCACCATTGTCACTATCATCACCATCAGTACATTCATCATCACCAGCATCACCATCATAA